TAAAATTGATTAACCAATCAATATTTATATCTTAATCTAATATTTATTTTATTATTAAGGTTTTATCAAAGAATGTAATACTACTATTTTAATAATTAATCTCCCTTAACTAAATTACTATGTAATTATGGACAGCTGAAAAGGTAGTATATACAAAATGTTTTTTTTTAAGCAATAAAATTATACTGTCACTTTCCTTTTTAGTATTACAATTTAAAAATTGTAGGAAGCTTCGACATTTTTAGTTATCAGACCAATGGTTGATCGATCATCCATATGTAAAATAGAAATCCGATCCATGTAGCCAGTCTTTTTTTAAAACATCTTTTCTAATGAATCCTCTCCTATATTGAATAGAGACTCTCTATGTAAAGCTATAGTTATTCAAAAACAACATTACTTATCACTTCAAAACTGAGATTTTTCTCCAATATTTCCTTTATAAATTTGATGGGTGGTCAAAAAGATGTGCTTTTATATGGGCGTAGTTTTATAGAAATCCAAAAAGAAATAATATATTAAAATTTACAAATTGAGGCCAAAAAAAGATAATTTCTAAATGCGGTAGAAACTCGAAATTACATGTGATCCACTTACTAAATTCGTCTTGTCGATTTTATCATAGTAATAGTTTTTGTTACAAGTGGGATAGAAGATTTCTTGTTAATTAGAGTATTAATATTTGAATGAAAATTTAATTTTATGCCTCTTGCAAACTCTGCCTATATCCCTTTCTATAAATGTCAATATGCCCCAACTTTTTATGCACGGTGATGAATTGTTGTCAATGATATCATTTTTTTCTATAAATTGATTTTAGATTTTTTTTTGTTAATGGCATACGTAATTAATTATATATGAAAGAAAATTGATTAAAAAACATGTTGTAACAGCATGAATTTTATATCTACATATATAAAGCCAGTAATTTCAAAAGCTCTGTCTGGTTGGTTTATTTAACTAAATTTGGTAAATTTAAAATTTTTTTTTTGAGTTGACAACTGTAGAAAGAAAGAATTCTCGACTAATATTAAGATTAAATGATAAATAAATATGATGACGATTTATTAAATTTTTCTTGTGATTGTTGTAAAGAACAAAAAAAAATTAAACGACTCTATTGAATGTGACCAATCAACACTATGATTCGAAAGTAAAAAATGCAACCGTCTCACCATAGATCGTATTAATAGAAAATAAAAAAAGATCACGTCGTCTTTATATAATTTGAAGAAAAAAATGGGTTCACATTTTTTATTCATCATAATAAAAATATTATTTAGCTATCAATAGGAATTTTAAAGGTGATAGATAATCAATTAATTAACCCATTAAATGTTACACGCGTAATTTTGTATTAGTAAAGAAGCTTA